TTATTTTAGGGCCATTAATTCTATATCTTAACTTTTGAAATTCATTCATTATTCATCTGTCGAAGCTTGCGAAGACAAGGTATTAGCGTCCGCAAGTTGTTTCCTTATTCCTATTTTCGGCACGATTTTTCAATTTATTATTCACCTTGAATCAATCAGCTTAATAAAGAACGACTTATTATTCACATTTCATGTAAAGCTAACCACTTACATCCAATAGATATTATAACTCGATAAAGTATCCTAATCTAATAAAAAGTGATGACTTCGAAAATCGGGATACTAGATATTTATCTTGACATACCATTGCATTTGTAATGATGACGTTTTTTCAAGTGATATTTCAAAGCGTTTGCGACGTCCTGATTTAATTCATTCATGTTTCCATATTATAAATATATTATGTCGGCTAAGCTCAATGCTATTCATGTATCTTACCCTGCAAATAAATAGATTTTTCGAATACAATGAGTTTTATATAGCCTATCGCTCTTTTTTTTCATTTTACAAATTATATATACATATATATCAGACCATATTTAAATGTCATTCGTTTTCAAAATTAGTAGTGAGTATTTTTCATTTATAAGTAGAGTTTTTATTTATACAGTTTCCATTTGTGTGTTTTCTGACCCCTACGCGCTTCTTTCTACATGTTTGGTTGCAAAACGTCTAACAGACACCTGATATGTGTATCGCCGTGCTGGGTGGTGTCGATGCCGGCAAGTCAACTCTTCTCGGCGTCCTGACGGATGGGGATCTAGATAACGGACGCGGAAGGGCCCGGCTCAACTTGTTTAGGCATTTGCACGAGGTCCAGTCTGGCCGGACGAGTAGCCTGAGCACTGAGTTGCTTGGTTTCGACGAGGCTGGTCGACTTCTAAATCATGAAAGGGCAAGAGGTGGAGGGCTTCAGCGTAGGTCTGCAGATGAGGTAGTTCTTTTGCCCGCAGCTTACTTTTCCAGCATTTTGTTTCTTTCGACTAGCCCAATAATTCTTATGGTCGGAATTATCCCGCATAGCGAGCCAACTATTATAAATGCATATTCATTTCTTGATATAAGGTGCCACAATG